ACACTTTAACCTCTTGGCCTCACTTGATAAATATCTCAGCGTCTGGGGAGTGGGGAGTTTGTAGAAGAAGATGGGCTAGGCTCTTCTTGGTTGCTGCATTCTATTTCTGATGGGGCAAGAACGGCATATTCCAGTGGTATCAGACTCATCATAGAACATTATCACAGTGTCATTTCTTTATTTCAAGCCAAGAAGTTGATGTCTAAAATATAGACAGATTTTTGGCTAAATGGAGTAAGACAATATGCCAATGACAGGAGGGAGTGTCCTTTTGCCTGGTAGTTTTTATGACCAAGAATTTTGTGGATTGGGAAATTTTGCTTCAGAATCATCTGAGAATCCTATCATAATGTGCCCGTATCTTTCCTTGACTCACTGGCTACATAGCTGTGGATATAGATTTCACTTGCACCTGGATACTATGGTATCCCAGGATTTAGCTTCCCACAATTAGATTCTCTCAGTATTCCTTTTAAGTGGGTGTAGACTGGGGCTGCTTTCCAGAGTAATGCCTTGCTCTGGGCATAGTATGTTTAGCTATGGAAAGTATGTATGACTTCCTCCAGAGCATGGGTGTAAATCCAGCCAGAGGGACTTTCAAAATACCTCAGTCTTAAAACAGGAGGGGGACTCAGGCTTTCAGACAACAATTGGGGTAGCAGGCTAAGGGCATCTTCTCTGGGCTCTGCAGCATTGCTTCTCAAACAGGAGTGGGCATCAGAATCACCAGGAGCTTACTGCCACTCCGGTTGTTAGGCTCCACCCCCAGAGGTTCAAATTCTGTAGGTCTGGGGTGGGTGCAGGAACTGGCATTTCTCACAGTTTCTTCTCCAGTGCTAATGCTGCCGGTGTGCATTTGGAGAGCCGGTGTTCCACAGCTTGTTTCTTCCTGTTTAACCCATCACTAGAAGACTGGGATCAGGCTATGGTGGCCAGTACATGTGCGGGAAAACATGGTAGCTCTCCTACCCTGAATAAGGCCAGGCCAGTGTCATTGCTTACCATGACTGCTAACTCTATTCAAGGGACTAGAATAGAACATTAATGACCTACCTGTTCCTGAAGTTGCATCTTCTTTCAAATTAGAAGGTCATCTAGTTTAGCAGCTTCCAAAAGCCAGCTTAAGAATGAGTGCTCAGCCAACTGCATAAGCAAACCTCAGGAATTCCGAAAAACATGAATTCCTTGTCCCTGCCCTAGGATATTTTGATCCAGCAAGTCTGAGATGTGGTCTGGGACCTGTGTGTCTAACAATCTTCCTTGATGACTTAATCCACTTCCAAGTTACCTATCCAAAGACCTTGAGTATTTTACACATTGTGCTATAGTAACGCACAGCTATCTTGAGTATCTTTGCCCCAAATTTAGACTGTGCCTTTAGTTAAAGGGTTAGCAATCTTTTAAAAGAAGCATGCCCAGTATTTAGTTTTTCATCATCAGAGGAGGCAATGCTAGTGGAACAACTTGTGGTGCAGCCCCTCAGAAAGGCCCTAATAGGCACTGAGTTCTTCAAGGAAGCACCACTCCTGGCATGTTCAGAAGTGACTGTGCATACAGGCAACCCACACAGGCAGGCCCTTAGGTACTAGAATGAAAGCACTTGCCCCAGTTTGGGATCATTAAAATGAGGCAAGGGCCCTTGACTAAGCTCATTGATAAGTTGGGCTGTTGGCTCACAGGGTATCTGATCCAGGCCAACATGGAGGTGTGCCTTCAGGATAAGAAGATAAGAAACACTTCCTGCCCTCAAGGGTCCCACAGGTCTGCATGCTGACTTCCAATGAAGAGATGTCACTGTCGTCTTGTGCAGGTCCTTGGGGACGGGCCTCTCCTCTGTGCTGGTAGAGCACTCTCTTTGGCACAGAAACTCGCTTGGTGCAGGGGCCAAGGATTGCCAGCTACCTTACATGCACACAGCCTTAACACAAGCAAACAGCGTTCACTTTGATAGTTACTACTTCTACCATCATCTGTGTAATTTTATTGTAGGTTGCAGATGATCCAGTTGCCTTTTAAAATTTATCTTTATGCTGTTGTTAGTCCTCTATGCTGGAGTCAGTTCGCAGTTCACTGGAGGAGGAAACAATGGCATTTGTTGTATATTTAGAGAGGGAAATTTCTCTCCTTATAGAGTTATAAACACTAATACTAATTTAAAAAATCTGATGTCTAGTACCTAGTCATTTATAGTCATGCTTTTCTTTACAATTATTTGTTACAAATTCAAGCGTTTTACAATACTTACATAAAATGGGCTGCTTTATATTAAAAGTCATGTAAAGCTCCTGTCTTCTCCCGTTTAAGTTAGTCATCAAATAATGCTTACTCAAGCTATATATTTTTTTCTTGAGCTTAATAGTTTGAAGGTGTGACCAGCCCTCTTTGCTTTTAAGTGAGAGAAAATGCACTGTGGAAATGCTGTCTCTCATTTTTAAGGACATTGGTTGAGTTAAAAAGGTGAATCCCTTTTTTTGTTGACCTTCCTTCAGTGAAGCCATTAACCTTTTAAAATAAGCATATTAAAAAATCTATCAAAAACAGCTAAATGAGATTTTAACAAAATCCTGACAATTTCAGCTCAAACATATACACAGAAACCATATGTGCTTAGGAAGAAATACATACACACAGGCATTGTTTACAGTGTGTGTTTTCATATTTAGAAGACATTGAAGAAAGAGCCATTCCATACATACATTATCTAAAATGTACATCCACATAGCACACATAGATTTTACATTAAGAGAGAAAGATATCTTCATCCACAGTAGGTAGACAGACAGACAGACAGACTGACTTCAAACTTGAACTTACAGTGTGGACTTTTTTTTCCTCATCTCTGGGTACTGCTTTTCAAAATTGCCTCAGGCTACAGAACAGCACCTCAGATCCCCAAGGCCCACTGCCTGGCTCCTAATAGCCACTCTCCATCTGTGTCACATGAACATCTGATGAGATCGCTCCAGTGTCTGTATTTTGGAGAGCACATCCACCCAGGTTAAAATGCTAGGGTTGCCAAGGAGCAGTCAGAAGCCATTAGTGTGGGTGAGAATTTGCCTTGCAGCAGTTCCTTGGCATGGTGAAAAGCGTGGATGCCTGTCCCTGCTGGAGCTGTGTGTGTGTGTGTATCCTTGTGCACATGACCCCCTAGTGCACATGGGTGTGTAGGGAGGGCACCCAGATGAAGACTAGACTCTGTATATCCAGTTTCCAAAGTCAGATGTCTTTTGTTTCCCTATACTCTGATTAGTTCTTTGACTATTTGGGTCCCTTTGACTCACTCTTTTTTTTTTTTTATCATAACAGACGGCAGAGAAAAAGAGAACAGCAACTTCGGGGTCATGCTCTAGTGTTTGGGCAGATGGAAGGGAGCTGCTTTGCCTTGGGGCAGGGTGGTTGTAATGAAGTAGCCTGTCAGTCTGTAAATAGTGAGGGTCATCTCTTCCATGTGATAGAGGGTATCGCATTGCAGTGAAAATGGAAATGTCAATAAAATTAATCTGCCAGCTCTTTGCTGTGGCTTTTCTGCTTCTCTGGTCAAAGAAGGTTGAGGGTTTTTTTTGGTGAGAAAGGAAAAGAACAGGTATAGGGAGGCCCTCCGGTCAGAAGGCAAGGGGTGCAGTGGGCAGGATGTCATGGTGTGGCCCAATCCAAGGGGAGGCAGTCCGTCTGAGAATGAGCTGGATCTATAGCCTTCCCTGGGAAGCTGCAGAGCGTCTAGCTCAGGCTACATTGAGCACAGAGTTTATTGTTTTAGGCTTTCTTGGACAAGGTTTTTACTTAGCATGGGATTTATGGCATTTACTGCTAATGAATGTCTATTCTTAAATTACAAAAACCCCATCTCAGTGCAATTCCCAGATGTCCTTCCAGGACCCCGGCTTCTTAAACATCAGCAGGGAGCATAAACTCTCCACTTCTGTGTTTTCCTCTTTCGTGTGGCTCCAGGCTAATGATGTGCAAGGAAAACACAGCCATCTATAAAGCCCCAGTGCTGTCCCCGTATTCTTCATTTATTTTGCATTTGATTATGCCACAAGTCAGATCTTGTTTCTTTCCTTTTTTTAAAGTTATTAGTTCAAATATTAATGTAGGGATATGGCATATATTGCTGCTCTTGATTGATGCCTTCTCAAAAACAGGAAGACGTGCTCGTATGAATTTTAAGAAAGTAGGGGTCCTGCAATGCCTTGACAGAAGAGTTTTTCAGATACATAATTTAGATGCCCTCCAGGCAGGCTTTCAAGGCATTTTTGCCAGAGGGCAAGAAAAAATAACTATGACTGTTAAAAGTAAATGATTTTTGTTAATGCACAATTAATGCCAAAGAAAAGCACAGAAGAGAAAGATGTTGATGGAAACTTCTGATTAAGTGAGCACCCTACCTTGATGTACATCTTTTTTTTTTTTTTTACCGATAATGATAATGATCAATGGTGCAGAGCACTCAAAGTTCTTAGGTCATGCGACTGCTGAGTGCAGGGTCATCTGAAGAGTGTGTGGACGTGCGTGGTTAGGAGGTGACAGTTCTAGGAGGGGCTGAACAGGCAGTGTGTTATGTGCAATGAACAGTGACACAGTTACTGTCACCTATGCAGGCAGCCTAGAATATATAGACTACAGAACATTTAACTTGATTGCCCTACAGTATGTGCTCACTATGGGCATGGGATGCATTTTCACCGAATGGGTTTTTGGATGGCGGTTTTCCCACATTTGATTCCATAATTGACAAAGAGCTACTGCACTGTGTCAAGAGCACAATTATAATTGAATTAATGATATGGGTGAGTTTGAGACACACAAAATTAACATTTGAAGAGGCCAGGTTTAATTTTGTCTTTTACATATTTGTGTCTCCAATTATACTTTAATGAAAGAGAATATACCCGCTTAATGGATTTCTTTCAACAAGCTTAGCTGAGCTCATCATTAGCGACACATTGGTATTGGCACCCTTTCTGTGTTTTTTCTAATGCATTTTCGTTTTTTTCTACTAGGGGATGGTTTAGACAACAGCGTAGCTTCACCTGGCACAGGTGACGATGATGATCCAGACAAGGACAAAAAACGCCAGAAGAAAAGGGGCATTTTTCCCAAAGTAGCAACAAATATCATGAGAGCATGGCTCTTCCAGCATCTCACAGTAAGTCACAATGACAGAGAAAAAAAGTTTTGTTGTTTTGCCTTCTCCTAGTAAGTTATGTGGGCTCCTACCAATTTTTAAAAATAAGATGCATGTTTTCCCTTTCTTGAAATCTGATGACTTGACAACAGTTAAGGTTTTATCAACTAGTACCATCCAAAGAACACCTGTAGAAAGATTTTTGTTTTGTTTTAATAGGCTAGGAATGGATCTTATTCAAAATATAGGTGTCCTCAACAGTAATATATGAGTAAATTTCTTATTTACGCTAAAACATATGAGAGCAACTTCAGATAATACAACTGCAACCAAGGGAAATGGCTCTAAGGAGCTCCTGAATCCATGAACATTGCTGATTGCACTCTTAATGAAAGCCATCTCTAGGAGGCAAAAAAAAGCACCTTGCCACATGCGTGTCAAAGCGCGTGGTAATCAGGTGGAACCCTAATCATTGGAGCAGCTTGCAAACATGTCCTGTGTTTATATGACAAAGGGTCATAGGTACTATAATACCTTTGTTTGTGAAGTGGAGATTAAGGATTATTTTTTCTCCATTCAAGTCTGTTATTCTATAAGCTAACCCTATTCACTTCAGGGAAAAGATCGAGTATGTGCAACATTTTTTAAAGTAACAATTTATCTTTATCCTCCTGTTTACAATCAGTTTTATGTGTTGGTATATACTGTTGACTCTAAGACTCTCATGACAAAAAAATTACAACGCATTTTTACAGAAGAACTGGGCACTCATATTTTACTGTTCATTTGGAAATTCTGGGAAAACAGATTTCAGAGGCTGTCTCTTGCTATAATATTGTTTTCAGGCCATTCTTTGTAGGCTAATGCTTAAAAATAGAGTAGCGTGTTGAAAGCTGAAGGTCTTCTTTGATTATCCAACTTGTGTGTTGCCATGCTGAATGACATTAGTTACAGTGTCACGGGTCCAGGACAAGGTTCCACTTTTATTTATGGTGGTGGCTGCCGACCTGCGCTTCTAGCAGAGCTACAAAGGGTAAGGGGTGGAGTGGCAGTGGGGGAGGGCAGAGTGATAAATTCGCATTCCTAAATCGGCCATTCTGATGTAAGGACATTAGTAGCAAACTAAGGTGTATCGATCTGGCCTGTGGTGTCAGGATCAGCTGGGAGGGCCAGCAAGGCTGCCGTGGCTGCGGTTATTCTTGCCCTGCAGTTATGGCCGTTTCAAAGGTCAGGGCCCTGCACTGACTCGGCTCAGAGGAATTAGACAGAACATGCGGTCTCTGGGCTGATTACTTAACCAAAGACAAAATAATGAGTCCTAAGCAAATACTGACTAATTGAAAGGGCTGTAAATCCATTACATATTGGTCAGGGATAATCAGGAGTATTTAATCACTTTTATCTATTCAGGAGCACTGAAGCTGCAACAGCAAAGCCCTGAACCTTGCCATGTGGTTATTATTCTCATCATTATCAAAATTACTTCACAGCTGTTCTTTGCTACATCACCTCAGCTGGAGATTTACTAACCTGTAAAATGTTTTTCATTTGGAAGTCGAGTGAGTGTGAGGGGAGGGGTTTCTCATTTTTAACTGAAGGGCTGTTTAGTTAGAGTAGCAAGTAAGACGGGCCAGGCGGGGCGAATGGACGGAGGACAGCCGCTGTCTCCCCGCAAGCTCACCTGTTTGGCCTCTTCCCTCTGTCTTCCTTCATTCTGGGCCTTTCTTAATCCAGAGTAAAGTCACAAATTGCTTTCCAAGCAAACATCATCATGTATTTTCAGCCTCTCATATCAAAACCAATGCCATGGAACAGCAGAACCTTAGAGAATTTGGCAGCTCTGTTTACAAATGAGGAAACCGAGACCCAGAAAGGGAAGTGGCTCAAGGTCAAGCTGCGACCAAGACTCAAGCCTTCCTTGTCCCTAACTTTACATTTTTTCCACATAATGATGACTTGGCTCAAATCATTATCACGTTTAACAGTTGCATATAAATCCCACAACCGCCACCATCAATCTGCTCAACTCAGCATTTATCAAAAGGAAGAAATATGGAGAAGGAAAGTGCTGCTTTCTCATTCCTAAAGCCTCCTGTTCCCCCAGCCTTTCCCAACAGGGAAGACTTTCTTTGCACCTCTCTCTCCAAGCCAACTTTCTCCTTTACGGCCCTTATTCTGTGACGTGAATCTCCCGAGGAAGTGTCCAGAGCCCTTGCTGGACCTCCTGTCTTGTCCTGGCCTGAGCCTCCCTGAGCCACAGGGGATGATTTGTGGGTGGCCACGTTGGGGCACTCCTGGCCAGGGTGCTACAAACCCATTTCAAGACCTTACTCCCGCCCAAGAGGCTTTCATCTATTCATGTAACTAAGGCTTTGTGCAGAATTCTCTGGCCAACTAAAAATTTTAAATAATGCCTGTCCTCAGAATGGGGACAGAAGACTCAAACAGCCTGAACCAGGGAGTCGGGGAACCGGCATTTCAAGTTCAGTTTTCCTCTGTACTGGCTGAGCCGCAGTTAAGTTCTCTGGACCTTCCATTTCCCCATTTTTCAAAGTAGAGGGACATGATGCAGGCTCTCCACACTGCAAGCTCCTTTTCCAGGCTCATATTTTCTCTCCTCAGCAGAACAGCAGAGTACCACGACATCCCAGACCCTGGTCATCCTTCCCTCCCCGCCAGTCCCCCTTTCTCCTTACTTTCTACTAAGTGCTTTGTTTTTCTCCTCAGCATGCCCTTTCTTCACAACATGACCCTGTCAGTAGTTTCTCCCACGGGCTTTGCCTCCCACTCTTTCGCTGCTTCCCTCCCCTGCCTTTCCTGCACCTCCCTGGTATCATGAGGAAATTCTCCTTCAGCTTTTCTCTTTGAAAAAATTTTCCCTATTCATCCAGATTTCACCCCAACTGTGGAGAAGAGGTTCAGTAACTTTGATGAGGATGGTCCCGTAAAATTTTTACTTTCCAATCTTTAATGAGCTGAAAGATTTACTCGGCTATAATTCTGGGCTCAGAAACCAAGAATAGAGACCCCTATCTAGCGACATGTTAATTTAGACTTTTTTTCTTACACGCACTAACAGGCATGAGGAAGTCCTTGGAAATAGAGATGCCCCACTATATTTTTTTGTCATTTAATTAATTTCAACTTTCACAGTGAAATGTTGGCCCTAGCTCACTGAAAATAGATGTAGTCTAAATTATTATTTCATGTAAATTTCTTTACAAGTGCATGATTCAATGTGCATTCCTCCATTATTAGTCTCTTTAACATCATTTCAAACTGATTTGTTCTCTTTTGTGCAGTATGACCTGTTCTTGTATTACAATAATCCCCGATGTACCCTTTTTTCTTTCTTTTTTTCTAAAAGAAGCTAATTGAATTATCTCATTATTTTAATTTGTTAAGCAAATGTATTTTGCATCTCAGGATGTGTTCTTAAAGAAGGGGGCTGCTAAGGCTTTGCCCCCTGAATGGGCCATTGGCCCATTTTGACATTCATGCATTCATTAACTAGCAGAACATAAAAGAACTCTGGTTGTATTTTTTTTTTTTTCCAAACACCCAACCAGCATGGAGCAACTTTTTCCAATAAGCCACAGGGGTCTCTCTACATATGTTCTCAACGGCAACCTATTGTCACCTATTCTGAATACCTCAAAAGGCCCAGAGAAAAAAGAACCCCACCTCAACAAAGACCAACTGTAGCAATTGTTAAGTCTTAGTCTCAATATGACAAAAATCATTAACCTTCAGTTTTCTTGGAAGAACAAGTTCCACTACAGCTGTAACAGTTAAAACAATCTCTCCAAGTCCCAGGCACACCAGCTTTAGGGGAAAAGGTAACAAGCCTGCAGCTAATCAATTAATATTGAGGATAATATTTAAACTAAATCCAGAATGACATTTGTAAAAACAAACTATTTGATGACTTGAGGAATTTCCTTCTGCAGAGTTAAGCACTTTGAATATGCTAAATCTGAGGGTAAATAATTAGTGTCTAGTTTCTAACAACCAATTTCCAAAGAGTCCTTTAAAACTCCCCTTTAAAAATACTCATAATAACTTTAAAGAAATAAGTCCATATATATATATATATATATGGACTTATTTATTTTAAAGAAATTGAGTTACTAAAAATGTTGTGTATACTATTGCTACCCCCCGCTCATCCTCTATTAGTTGATGGCTATGCTTGCTTCTCAGACTAAGAAATCTAGCAAAGATTGAAGAAAGAATCTGTTGGAAAAGGATGTGCTTCTCCTGGAAAGTACCCAATGGCAAAAAAAGTTAGGGAAATCCTAGGGAAGTATATTCCTTTCGCTAACACATGGAGATGATGATATCATAAAAGTAAGCCTGTCATTACAACTGTTTCTATTTGACTTCAAAGATCGTTAAAGAAAGAAACAGCAAGAAATAATGCCCAGGCTAACAGTTTATTCATAACCATGAAAAACTCCTCCACGCCAAGAAGCCCTTAGTGTACTCAATTAGGCTCTTAGACACCTCCACTTGCCACCTTCAAGAGCTCCCCTAGTTCTGCTGCAAAGAATTTGTTTGATTGCAGAATGAAAACAGTAAGTGCTCACTCACAAAGACACCACTTGCTCATACCAGTTTCTGACCAAAGGTTTTCTTATTTGAAGAGGGATAAATTATGCTCACACTTAGGGGATGTGGGACTTCTTTAAAAAATACGTGTATGGAGTCAAAAGCAAATTTACTTTAAAGCGATGTAAAATCATGCAGCCTTCTTGAAACTTCAGGTTGTAAAAACTCTGTCGTTTGTTCACGGCAACAAGCTTTATCCCTTCTCTGTACCTCTTGGGGAGAGGGAGAGGCACGAAGCCTACCTTTTCAGGTGCCCACTCATTTCACTCCTTGCCTATTAGAGTTCATTTCATGGGATTTTGTAAAGGTCTCTGGTGATAAAAATGTGTTTTAAAGTATATTGTCCTAGAGAGACAGTGCACCCAAGTTATGAGTAAATGCAGCTCCTTGTTAATTAGAAAGACACATAG